GCAGGCAGGGATGGGGAGAGGCAGGGAGGAAGCAACTTACCCTCCCTCTTCTCCTGCCTCCTCCTGGCTAAATGAGGGCCGGAAGCAGGGGGCGGGGCTTCATCATGTGCCCCGCCCCCGTACCTCACCCGGGGGAACTACGATTCCCCCCGAAATGGCCTCTGCCTTTGAGCCTGCCAGATTGCAAACCACAGGCACACACAATTGGCTGTTTGCTTTTTCATACTGCTTCAGCTAATTTAAAACGATGCATCCATGTCTCGTGCAAGGTGGGGTGGGGGGAGGTGGCTCGGTGGTAGAGCCTCTGCTTGGCGTGCAGAAAGTCCCAGGTTCAGTCGCCAGCATCTCCGGTTTAAGGAACCAGGAAGCAGGGGATGCCCGAGACCCTGGAGAGCAGCTGCCAGGCAGAGCAGACAATACTGACCTCGATGGACCGATGGTCTGATTCAGTGTAAGGCAGCTTCATGGGTTCGTTTTTGTTTTTTTATTTATCATTACATTTCTAGCCCTCCCTCCCCGCAAGCGGGCTCAGGGCGGCTCACAAATAGGGCACACGTGCCGATACATAAAAACAGAACTAAAAAACAGGATTAAAACAGCCCTTTACGCTATTGCAATGTGGTGTAAAGGAATGCAGCGCTCCAAAATGTTTCATCCAGATGTTCTCTTCTTTTTATTTTCCGGCTTCTCGGCTTCGACAAAACGTTTGTGATAAAGCGAGAATAGCCGAACTGTGGGCTTCCCATCTTTTAAAAATGAAAGTCAATGAAAGTGTAATTTGTTGTGTACGTGGACCGCCTCCGGGGGTCCGTGGAAAGGCCAGAGCTTGGATCTGAGAACAAAAGAAACTTCAGATCCTGGATCCCCCAGCCCCAACCAATAGCCACCTTGGCGGGACATTCAAACCCTCCAATGGGAGTGGGGGGGGGGTTGCTGGGGGGGATGTATATAGTTGGCCCTGTCGGCCGTTAGAGTTAGTCTTTGTCTATGTGAAGTACAATAAACGTGTGCTACAGTATGTCATCGTCCGAGTCCTCCATGCGGCAAACCCAGTACTTTTCATAATTATTTTCAAATGGCGCTTCTGAGGCAGACACATCCAAGCAGAAGAGCATGCCAGGGCAATCGATTGCAAGATGTGTGGAGGGGGTGCACTTCTTTGGGGCAAAGGCCGAATTTTCCAGCTCAGCGCCACTAGGTGGTTAACAGCACGATCCTGTGCCGTGTTGCTGCCATCTAAGCCCATTGACTTCAGTGAGCTTGGACTGGAGTAACTCTTTTTTTCAGAACAAAGTTTGCATCTGGGGGCACCTTTAAGACCAACAAAGTTTAATTCTGGGTATAAGCTTTCATGTGCAGGCACACTCCTTCAGAGACATTGGAACAGACTTCCTCAAGCCTTACATATAGGTGGGAGGGGGGTTTAGTTGCTCGGAAGGGCTAGTTAGAGTCAAGATGTGTCAGTAACTGAGCGATAAGTATAGCTAAGGCTGCGGTCACACACACTAAATCATCCACTTTCAATCCACTTTCCAACTGGATTTTTACTGTGTGAACTGGCCTAAGATTGGATTAAAGCAGTTGGTAAAACCTGTGCATAGGAGCCAATTAGCATACAAATAAAAGAGTTAACAAACAGATGTGAGAACTAGGTTTGAGTCCAGTGGCAGCTTTAAGACCAACAAAGTTTAATTTTGGGTATAAGCATTTGTGTGCATGTGCACGAAAGCTTATGGCCAGTATTAAACTTTGCTGGTCTTAAAGGTGCCACTGGACTCAAACTTCGTTCTGTTGATTCAGACCAACCCACCTGGATCTGTTTAGGATTGTACTGGGACTAACATAGTGACCAGTTGGACTCTGGTTTGGATGAATCAATGGCCAGCCTGGCAAAATCTGCTGTCGGACTGGTTTGTTTTGCCATTTCCTGCCATTTGTGATGTTTAAAAGATCCAAGAGAGCGATTAACTAGCACCCAACGTCTGGAAACTGCAGCATGTGCTCCACAGAGGTGTGTGTTTAATTTGGCAGTGGAAGAAAGACTCTGCCCACGAGAAGATATGTTGGTGCTCTGCCGATTTCTGTATAACCAATTACTTCCTTTTTCATTCTGAGTAATTCTAAAGCGTGTTGACGTGTTGAAACCGGGCAGCAGATCGGGTATCAAATGCAAAGTTGTACTTTCGATTCCTTTCTTGGCTCCTCTTGATTATTATCTGAGTGGTTCTGCGATGAGATCCCTGTAGCTTTTCTTTCTTTTCTTTTTTTAAACAATTTTTTAATTTTTAAAACACTAATTCATACAGATTAGTACCATATCAACAAAAACATTTTCCTTCTTGCTTCAACAATAAAATAACAAGCTGAATGAGTTACATTGTTTTGCTTTACAGCAAATCCTATATTTGTCTTATACCTGAATACTATAATTTGGGTACTGTGTAAATAATTGTAACCTCTTATATGATAGAGAAGCCAGCCTTATACAATCCTCCAATAACCTAATCAACTTAACAGTAGACAATATGCTTAAGAGAAGAGAAAACTTTCGCAAAATTGAAGAAGATAGACAAAGACAAGAACAAGAGTCTATGAAATTCACGAACTATTGTTGTTATATCCATCTGTGATATTGAGACCATTCGGGTGAAATGAACTGTTTGAGAGACAAATAATCAAGTATTGGGAACCATTTTTCTGTAAAATTAGATTTTGTGGGATTATGCGACATATAATTTAATTTGTTGGTGACCGCATCCATTAAATAGTGACTCCATAATTTTTTGTACCATACTCTATTTTGGGCGCTGTTTTCTCCTTCCAATAGGAAGCAATTGCTGTTTTCGCAGCGTCAAACATCACGTCGACCGTGAGTTTATGTGGCCTGTTCTCTAGCTCTTTAGGCCAAGTGTTTAAAAACAGTACTTCCGGGGTTAGTGGAATTCGTACAGATGTTACCTCTTGGATTAAGGACAGAATTTCCTCCAAAAATTTCTTAATTTTAATACACTTCCACCAACAATGAGCATTATTTCCAATTTGGTTACATTCCTTCCAGCACATTGGGGATTGGGTCGATGTAATATGGGATAGCTTAAGTGGTGTTGTATACCATCTCGACATTATCTTTAAATTCTGTAGCCTAATAGATATTACTTTGGTTTTGGTGCTAGAGGAATTCCATACTCTCTCCCACAACTCATCTGTAAAGTTTACCATCATATCTTTTTGCCATAAGTTTTGATTCTGGCCCTGCTGGTGGACCTCCTGATGGCACCTGGATTTTGGCCACTGTATGACAAAGAGTGTTGAACTGGATGGGCCATTGGCCTGACCCGACATGGCTTATGTTTTTATGTCTGAGGCAGTGATGCTCTGTATTCTTGATGCTTGGGGGGGGGGCAACAGTGGGAGGGCTTCTGGAGTTCTGGCCCCGCTGGTGGACCTCCTGATGGCACGTGGGTTTTGGCCACTGTGTGACACAGTGTTGGACTGGATGGGCCACTGGCCTGATCCAACATGGCTTCTCTTATGTTCTTAAGGCCCTGACTCACCCTTGTGATTTATATGCTCAAAAGAAAAAGGGAAAAAACCACCTGTCATAGCAGCTGAAGATTTTCAAACTGAAAAGCAAAGAGGAAAGGGGCATATTCCATCTCTCTCTCCCCAGGTTATCAGTCCCCGTCCCTCATTTGGGATTTGACAGGTTACAGGTCTGAATTTGAAGCTGCTACGGCTGCCATCTCTCCGGCTGCCACCAGTCTTTCATAAGCCGCTGGGCCTTCCCTTTCCAATGAAGAACCATCTATGATCTTGCTTGGACTTCCTTTTTGTCTCTAGTCAGAAGAACAAATAGTGCCCCTAAGGCAGGCTTAAGAGAGTACTGGGTCTCCGTAAGCGCAGTTCCACTCCACGGCTAGGTTGTAGTGCCCGCCGCTTCCTCCTTTGTAGGCGCTGGTCACGATTCGAAGCCACCCACGCTCGCCCTGCGAAAACATTTACGAACATAATTAACTTTTTTGTCCCTTAGGACAGTGACGCTCTGAAAATCCTTACATACCTGAGCTGCTTATGACCCACGTCTGGAAGGGGAAAATCTTATCATCCTGCGCCGCCTAGGGCGGTTGTCTTGGACTGCACCCTGAGCATGCAGGAAGATGTTGTGGGTCAGCTGAGTTTGTGTGCAGATGTGGAAATGCACACTTGCAACTTCCAGGAGTGTTATTCCCTTGCCCTGACCTGGATAGCCCAGGCTAGCCCCATCTCTTAAGAACATAAGAGAAGCCCAGGTTGGATCAGTCCAAAGGCCCATCCAGTCCAACACTCTGTCTCACAGTGGCCAAAAAACACCAGGTGCCATCAGGAGGTCCAGCAGTGGGGCCAGGACACTAGGAGCCCTCCCACTGTTGCCCCCCACCCCAGGCACCAAGAATACAGATCTCAGATCTGTATCAGATCTCAAGAAAACCAGCGTCATGACACAGAAGCAGGCAATGGCAAACCACCTCTGAAACCTCTCTTGCCCAAAAAACAAGTCTAGCTCGCCACCTAGTGGTGCATAACGCTAAAAGAGCTAGAACCTGTGGCTGCCAGACAATCTTAGGTTCTCCTGGCTATACTACACACAATGTCATATGATTATTATAGTTGTTGTTGCTGTTCCCTTGGCCATAACTACATGTACACTTGTCTCACACGTACAGTGTACACTGGATTATTCTTTATACATGAGTAGATTTCATGTTACATTCAACGCATGTACAGCTGAACATGTGATTGAAACCCACCCACCCGCCATTCCCCAAGCAGGCAATGGCAAACCACCTCTGTTCCTTTCTAGCCTTGTAAACACCAAGGGGTTCCCGTACGTCATATGTGACTTGATGGTGCTTTCCACCACCAGGCGGATGAAGCCTTGACCTGGATGGGCCAGGTTCTCCCGATCTTGTCAGGTCTCAGAAGCTAAGCAGGGCTGGCCCCAGATAGTACATAGGTGAGAGACCACCAAGGAAGTCCAGGGTTGCTACACAGAGGCAAGAAACAGCAAACCACCTCTGTTTATCTCTTGCCTTAAGAACCCTATGGGGTGGCCATAAGTCACATGTTACTTGATGGCAGTGTTCCCTCTCAGCTGACTTAGTGTGAGCGAGCTCACAGATTTTCAGCCCCCAGCTCACACATTTTTTTTTGTCTTAGCTCAGGAAGGATGGCTCCAGAGTAAACTAATTTATGGAGCAGCCAAATCACTTGCTCACAACTTTTAACGCCAGTAGCTCACAAAGTAGGATTTTTGCTCACAAGATTCCACAGCTTAGAGGGAGCACTGCTTGATGGCCCCTTCCACCACCATGTATCCAGATAGTGGTCCCCAGTTTCAGCTGCAAACTGGATGCACGTTGACTCTTCCTTTCCCTAACCAGGATGCAGTCTTCCTCCCTGGCTGAATCCTTTCCTAAAGCAAGTTCCAGTTTGGGGGTTGCGTTCTCTCCTCCTTACCCAGGGTTCTCCCCAAGAGTTGCGGACAATCCAATACTCTGTTCCATTTTCAACGCCCCAGCCGGCGACGGAGACAATGTGGTTGATTATGGGCAGGAGCCTGTATTCTTCATAAAGTCCACCGGTGTATTTGTCCAGTTTGGGAGTAGCCATGATTCCACAGCTGTGTACGTTTAAAAAAAAAGATGGTTTTAGGGTGCTACTGAAAACTAACACTCTGGATACAATCACAAAAAGTATCTGATCTGAGCCCCTCCTGTTTCAAGCCCCACCAAGACGGAGTGACCTCAACATAAAAGGTCAATTAAACCTCCCCATTCAAAGGCCTAGTCCAGACTTGGCAGTTCCAACCAGTTCTTCCTACCCACTGCAACCCCCCCCCCCCAACCTGGAGATTTTGGTGGAGGAGCCTTGAGAAGGGGACATGACAGAGGTTTGTAAAATTATGCATGGGGTGGAGAGAGCTGACAAAGAGAAAATTTTCTCCCTCTCCCAAAATACTAGAACTCGAGGGCATGCAATGCAGCTGATGGGCAGTAGGTACATGACGGACAAAAGGAAATACTACTTGACACGGTGAGCGATTAAAATTTGTAATTCGTTGCCATGGGATATAGTGATGGCCACAGGAATCAACAGTTTTAAAAGGTAGATAGATTCGGAGGATAAGTCTGTCAATGACTACTAGCCATGGTGACTGAGGGGAACCTCCACATTCAGAGGCACTAATCCTCTGAATCCCAGAGCCAGAATAGGAGGCAACATCGGGGGAAGGCCTTGGCCTCTGTGCCCTGTTGTTGGCTCTCCAGAGGAACTGGTTGGCCACTGTGTGAGGCAGGATGCAGGACTAGATGGACCGCTGGTCTGATCCAGCACAGCTCTTCTGATGTTCTTACGGGAGGGTGGGGTTTGGGGAGAGAGCTCAGCAGGGTATAATGCCATCAAGAGATACAAGGGGGGGGGGGAGAACAACCCAAGTACTGAATTAAGAACCAAAAGTTCAAAGCCAGAATGTGAGGGCCCAATAGTTCTATAAAGGTAAAGGTTCCCTTGCTCGAAAGCCAGTCGAATCCGACTCTAGGGTTGCGGTGCTCATCTCCGTTTCAAAGCCAAAGAGCCAGCGCTGTCCGAAGACGTTTCCGTGGTCATGTGGCCGGCATGACTAAACACCAAGGCGCACGGAACGCTGTTACCTTCCCACCAAAGTGGTACCTATTTATCTACTTGCAATTTCTTGCTTTTGAACGGCTAGGTTGGCAGGAGCTGGAACGAGAGATGGGAGCTCACTTCATCATGTGGCACCCGGGTCTCGAACTGCTGAACTACTGACCTTCCACAGCCTGCAGTTCAGCGTCTTAACCACTTGAGCCACCCCAGCTCTATACCTAACCTTAAAACATAAATATTACCAAAATATACAAATATACATGTTTTTTATTACAAATTAGATAACACAAATGTAGGCCCAAATAGTAGCCTCAGATCAGAATAAAATCATGCAATTATCTTAAACACACACCATGTTTTACCCTGACCAAACATGTTTGGGCCAACTGGCCTTCTAATCAGTGGCCAAACAATGTTGTTACACCGCGGCTCCATACATTACAATAATAACCGTTCTTTCTTAAACTTGGAACAAGTTGAAAGTGTTTTATGATCGACAGATCTGTGACCTAAGGCAAAGGTATATTTCAGAGGCCTCATTTTAAATAACCTGCTGCCCTGGTCGGGTACAGGTGTCTTGAACGGTAATTCAGTTGTGCACCTTCCTCTCCGGGTCCCAAAAACATTTTTTTAAATGCAGTCTGGAGCCAATAGTGTGTAATAACACTACCACCCTATTACTTTTGGTTCTTAATATAATGCCATGGAGTCCACCCTCCAAAGCAGCCGTTTTCTCCAGGGGAACTGATCTCACCTGGACATCAGTTCTAATTTCGTGAAATCCCCAGGTCCCACCTGGAGGCTGGCAACCCCGCCCCCATGTCCTTTCCCAGAGTTCCCTACTGCCCCGGAGCAGCCTCTTGTGGAGATTAGTGGAAAGGGGGAGGCAGGAAAGGTTCATTCCACTGATGGAAAACAGAGTGGGCATCCAACCCCAAAGCCTGCAACGACGCCCTCAAAAACCCTCCACTGAAGCACCCTCTCTGGAAACGCCCTTCATGGACTCCAACAGCTCGACCAGGGAGTTCTGAGAAGGCCCAGGCTCTCCCCCTGCAGGGAAGGCGAGGGCTCCTGACCTCCATCACAGAGAAAGGCTCGTGTGGCGTAAGAGGGCCAGACAAGGATCCGGGAGACTTGGGTTTGAATCCTGCCTCGGTCATGGAAGCTCACCGGGCGATTGTGGTCCAGTCCAAACTCTCCACCTAACCTACCTCGCAGGGTTGTTGCAAGGATAAAACGGAGGATCAAATAACGTACGCTGAACCTGAGCAACTTGAAGGCAGGGCAAGGGGGGAAATGTACTAAGTAAAATAAATGTGCCCACTGAATCCAGAAGATAGGAGAGAGAGAGAGAGAGAGAGAGAGAGAGAGAGAGAGAGAGAGAGAGAGAGAGAGAGATATGTTGGATTTATACCCCACCCTTCACTACCAGAAGGAGTCTCAGAGTGGCTTACCATCTCCTTCCCCTTCCCCTCCCCACAACAGACACCCTGTGAGGTAGGTGGGGCTGAGAGAGCTCTCTCGAGAACTGCCCTTGAGAGAACAGCTCTGAGAGAAGTGTGACTGACCCAAGGTCACCCAGATGGCTGCATGTGGAGGAGTGGGAGAATCAAACCCGGTTCTCCCAGATTAGAGTCCACCACTCTTAACTACTACACCAAACAGATTGTGGCCAGTGGTCTCAGGTTATTTCTCAAAAGACATAGCGCAAGCAAAGGCACTTGGCCTCTCCCAGTTTGGTGTAGTGGTTAAGTGGGCGGACTCTAATCTGGGAGAACCAGGTTTGATTCCCCACTCCTCCACTTGCACCTGGCTGGATGACCTTGGGCAAGCCATAGTTCTGGCACAGCTGTCCTTGAAAAAGAGCAGTTTCTGTCAGAACTCTCTCAGCCCCACCTACCTCACAGGGTGTCTGTAGTGGGGAGGGGACAGGAAAGGAGTTTGTAAGCCGCTCTGAAACACCTTTGGGTAGTGTAGGGCAGGGTATAAAACCAATCTCTTCTTCTTCTCCTCCTTCTTCTCCTTTGGTATCCCAACAATAAACTGAAAAATACCAATCTGTGGGTGTTTACGGGCTTCCACTTCTTGTTGCTTATATTGCTTGCCATACAACATGGAGGTTCTTTACCTGATGGGACCGTTGGCATAGATTTCCGCCTTCATTTTTTGTCTCCCGCTGATTGTCCCGTAATCGGCGACTTTCCAGAGGGTGTAGTTCCGAATCACATGACATTTGTCGAAAGTAACACATGTCCCACACTGGTTAAACTTCTTGCATTCTAGGAAGAAAGGCAGGGGGTATAAAGGAAGTCAATAAAGAAAATAAATCATAAATCTATAAGTAATCTATAAGTAAACATGGGATCCTTTGTGGAAGGAGGGAGAGTCAGTTGCTGGAAGGAGATCTCACGTACTTTGGTCTTTGGCTTGGTAATTGTTGCAGGTCTCGTCCGGGATGCCGTGGGTATGCGCGTACTCCCAAACCCATGTGTGGTCTCCTCCGTGGCAGGTCCCTGAGTCGGCACAGTCAATCACATGCTGGACAGAGAGGTAGGCAGAGGGCCAGGTGGCTTTCCTCTTAATGTTGATGCGGTCTGAGGGAAGAAGAAGAATTAGAAGAAGTGGAGGAGGAGGAGGAGGAGGAGATTGGATTTATACCCCACCCTTCACTCAGAGTCTCAGAGTGGTTTACAATCCCCTTCCCTTCCTCTCCCCACAACAGGCACCCTGTGAGGTGGGCGGGGCTGAGAGAGCTCTGAGAGAACTGCTCTTGAGAGGACAACACTGAGAGAACTGTGACTGACCCAAGGCCACCCAGCTGGCTGCATGTGGAGTGGGAGAATCAAACCCAGTTCTCCAGATTAGAGTCCTCCACTGTTAACCACTACAAGACAACAAGCTGCAGTTGGGGAATCTGCCAGTTAAAACGTTATTAAGCCACACACTCACAAGGCCATCTTAGGTATCGGTCTCTCTGTGCCCCCAATCCCGCATCTCGAATCGAAGGGATACAGTTACCAGCCCCCTTTACGAGACTGTTTTTAAGATCTGCTGGGTGATGTGAAGCACTTTCAACACCGAACATGGTATGCGTGTGCCAAGTATTAGAATCATTTGGTGTAAGGCATTGATGGGGATGTGCAACACTCAGCAGTTCTAAGAAAGTTTCTGCCAAAGTGGAAAGTTTTAACAGAGCCGGTGCTAGCCGTGCCTGTGTTTGGGAGTGCCAGGAGGGACTGGCTATAAAAGGGCGTCCCCCATACCTGCAAGGGCGCTGGTGCTGCCGTGAGCCCAACAGGATCCACAGTACTGAGGAATGTGCTGGTTGCGTGTGGCGCTCACGTAATTGACTCCATCTACGTTGCGCCAATCCCAGCTCTGGGGAAGCTCAGAGACATCCAGGAGTTCGTGAGGACGAGGGTATGTTCTGTTGCAGAGAAGAGGGAGAGAAAGTCAACAATTTTTCCAGGGTCTGGAGGGAAGGGAGGAGGGGAAAAGTCTCCCACCATCTCATAGCAATGCCTGACATCTTTCTGCTTGGTTTGGGGTTACGTCATAAAACAGTGAACTTCCTTTTGAGCACAGATGCAGGTGGGTAGCCACACTGGTCTGAAGCAACAGGACAAAGTTTTTAGTCCAGCGACACCTTTAAGACCAACAAGTTTAATTCTGGGTATAAGCCATGAAATTAAAAGACGTCTGCTCCTTGGGAGGAAAGCGATGGCAAACCTAGACAGCATAATAAAAAGTAGAGACATCATCTTGCCAACAAAAGTCCACGTGGTCAGAGCAATGTTGTTCCCAGTAGTAATGTATGGCTGCGAGAGTTGGACCATAAGGAAGGCCGAGCGCCAAAGAATAGATGCTTTTGAATTATGGTGCTGGAGAAGACTCTTGAGAGTCCCCTGGACAGCAAGGAGATCAAATCAGTGAATCCTAAAAGAAATCAACCCTGACTGTTCCCTGGAAGGCCAGATACTGAAGCTGAAGCTCAAATACTTTGGCCACCAAATGAGAAGGGGGCATGCACTGGAAGAAGACCCTGATGCTGGGAAAGACTGAAGGTCAAAGAAGACGGGGACGGCAAAGGATGAGATGGTTAGACAGCGTTATCGATGCAACGAACATGAAATTGAGCAAACTCTGGAGGACGGCGGAAGACAGGAGGGCCTGGCGTGATGTGGTCCATGGGGTCGCGAAGAGTCGGACTCGACTGTGTGACTGAACAACATGAGCTTTCGTGGGCATGCACACAAAATCTTATAGCTAGAATTAAACTCAAGGTGCCACCGGACTCAAACTCTGTTCTATTCCTTTTGAGCGAAAGTGAACGGAACAACTGTTTCTGTGAAGTCAATGCAACGGCTCACGCAGTTGCCCTCAGCATGGTGCAGGATTGAGCTAAGAACTGGTAGACCCCGTTTCGAATCCCCGCTTTGCCATGAGTAACCGGGGGCCTGTCATTCAGTCCACCTAACTGGGTCGTTGTGATTGATTCGGGTGGGTAGCCGTGTCGGTCAGAAGCAGCAAAAGAAAGTTTGAGTCCAGTGGCACCTTTGAGACCAACAAAGTTTGATTCAAAATGTAAGCTTTTTCTTTTTTTTAAGCCCCCGGAACCCACACTATACTAAAAACCCAAGAGTAGGGGATCATTTCCCTGTTAAGCTACAGTTAGTATTAAAAAAGCTGTTAATAAACAATACACTTTGTGAGATCCTGTCTTTCTAGGCTTATATGTTAGTTTATTACTTGCATGGCCCCTGTGCAAAGTGGAAGCTTTCGTGTGCAAAAACACACCTCTTCAGACAAAACTGGGATAAAATCTAAAAAACTAGTTACAGGCAAAGAGGGCGGGGGTAAGCCATTGGGGACCACAAATGCTGCTCTCAGCTTGTCGGAGAAAGGGCAGGATAGACAATTACAAATAGATCGCTATGAACATTTTAGCCCGCTACAGACAACAGCCCCACACATTCACTGAATGAGAAAGAAGGAAGACCAGGTCCGAGGGCACTGGCTGCACATGTGCCCCCTTCCCTAGGATCAGCGAGGCAGATTTCACATGAACGTTTCCTCCATCTGGTTCCTCCCCCCCCCAGCTCAGGGGGGCGGGGCCAGCAACCTTCCACCTGCTCTCCCTCCTCACCCGTTCAGTGAATACATAGGGATTTCATCTGTACCGGGCTCTTATGAAGCGATGTGCAGTTTGGCGTTTGACATGCACCTCCCGGATGCTGCGGCTCCACAACAGGAGCGAGATCGACAGTCTGCACAAATCTGTGAAGAAAGATAATCCCTTTCTGTAGAGAGCCAACGTTTCACAGTTACTATTGAGCCAAGCCTGATAGCATCAGATCTGCATATGAATGACGACTCTGCCGCTTCCTACAGAAATGGAGACTCCCTTAATGTGTTGCTGCTGCTGCTGCTGCTGTTGTTGTTGTTGAAGTCCGGCACCTTTTAAATCTGTCCCGGTTTTTAAAAGGGCTGTATTGTTCTTCCCTTGGAGCTGCGGTGGCTCAAGTGGTTAAGACGCTGAACTGCAGGCTGTGGAAGGTCGGTAGTTCAGCAGCTCGAGACCCGGGTGCTGCATGACGGAGTGAGCTCCCATCTCTAGTTCCAGCTCCTGCCAACCTAGCAGTTCGAAAATTGCAAGTAGATAAATAGGGACCACTTCGGTGTGAAGGTAACAGCGTTCCGTGCGCCTTGGTGTTTAGTCATGCCGGCCACATGACCACGGAAACGTCTTCGGACAGCGCTGGCTCTTCGGCTTTGAAACGGAGATGAGCACCGCAACCCTACAGTCGGATTCGACTGGCTTTCGAGCAAGGGAACAACTTTACCTTTATTGTTCTTCCACTGGTTCTGGAGTAGTTTCATTTCAGCGCTTGAGTTACATTCATTTATTTTCTTGTACAGGTAAGAGTCTATTTCGGGCTGGGAACATGACAGAGCGGCACTGCTGGCCCCTGAGAGCACACGTGTCACAATGGAAGGAGCACAGATTTGATGCTCACAATTACTAAAGTGCACTCGCAGTTGTAATTAAGTACCAGAATAATCTGTCCTGGTTTTTAAAAGGGATGTATTGTTCTTCCACGGGTTCTGGAGTAGTTTCATTTCAGCGCTTGAGTTACGTCCATTTATTTTCTTGTACAGGTAAGAGTCTATTTCGGCCTGGGAACCAAACAGAGCGGCACTGCTGACCCCTGAGAGCACACGTGTGTCACACTGGAAGGAGCCCAGATTCGATGCTCACAATTATTAAAGTGTATCAGAATCCCCCACGTGCGCACTCCAAGGGAAGAAAAGCTCTCTCTTTCCCCCGCCTTGCATGTGACACAGTGATTGAAGGAGGGTCAGATCAGTCAGTTTGGATTAAGCAACCTCAGGCATTCCCCAGCAGAGATTTAGACGGCAGTCTTGTGATCTCTGTTCCTCTTTTGGTGTCGCAATCTGGTGTGGCCGAGAAAGCAACCTCAGGGAGGGGCTCCACAGATAAGGGCAAACTTGACCCACAAGCAACTCTGTCTTGTGTCTCAGTCTTCGATATGTAGAGGCTCTCCTAGATTAGGAAAGGGTGAAAGACATCTAAAGCATTTCCCTTTGGAGTTGCCTGCTCGATTTGCATATTTCTAAACTCTGTCTCTGTCTCCCTCTCTCTTTCACACCCATGCACACACAAATAAGGGCAGGGCCGTGGCTCAGTGGTGGAGCATCCGCTTGGCATGCCGAAGGCCCCAGGTTCAATCCCCAGCATCTCCACTGAGAAGGACCAGGCAGCTGCTCCACTGAAAAGGAGAGCAGCTGCCAGTCAGAGAAAGACAATACGGACGTTGACAGACTCAGTATGAAGCAGTTTCATATGCTCATATGCAGACAGTGGCACATTTGATTCATGGAAGCTCCTGTGGTGTGTATGGAGAAAGTAAATAGGTTCTGGTTGAGAAGGTGGTAAAGAAACCTGCCTCCCGATCCCAGACGCTGGGATCACCAAGGAATCACAGAGCTGGGAGGGGCCCTTCAGGCCACCTAGTCCAACCCCCCCCCCCCAATGCAGGGCCAGCCTAGAGCATCCCTGACAAGTGTTTGTCCAGCCGCTGCTTCAAGACTGCCAGGGAGGGGGAGCTCACCCCCTCCCTAGGCAGCTGGTTCCACTGTGGCACAACTCTGTCAAAAGGGTTTTCCTAATATCCAGCCGATACTTTCCCACCCTTATTTTAAACCCATTATCGCATGTCCTATTATCCTCTGCTGCCAACAGGAACCGCTCCCTGCCCTCCTCCAAGGGACAGCCCTTCAAATACTTCATAAGAGAGCAACCATGTCCCACCCCCCCCGCAACCTCCTCTTCCCCAGACTAATCTAGCGTGCTCCCTGCTTCCCAAGGAAGACCATCATTCATTCTTTTAAGGGAAAGTACAGCCCAACACTGGCCCAGAACAGACTACCACTTGCCCGCCCCCCCCCACTGCACCTGAGGGACAAATTAGTCCCTGGCATTGTCATGGGCTCAACCAGCTTTACTCACTGTGTGTGCGTGTTGTGTATGTGTGTGTCTCTCATGTGCCATCAAGTTACTTCTCACTTATAACAACCTATGAATTAATGTCCTCCAAAACGAACTATTGTGAACAGCCTTGTTCAGGCCTTGCAGACGGAGGGCCCTTGCGGCTTCCTTGACTGAGTCCGTCCATCACATGTTGGGGCTTCCTCCTGCCTTCAACTTTTCCTAGCATGACTGTCTTTTCCAGGGACTCCTGTCTTCTCACGGAGCTGCGGTGGCTCAAGTGGTTGAGACACTGAACTGCAGGCTGTGGAAGGTCGGTAGTTCAGCAGTTCGAGACCCGGGTGCCGCAAGACGGAGTGAGCTCCCGTCTCGAGTTCCAGCTCCTGCCAACCTAGGAGTTCGAAAGCAAGGAATTGCAAGTAGATAAATAGGTACCCCTTCGGTGGGAAGGTAACAGCGTTCCGTGCGCCTCGGCGTCTAGTCATGCCGGCCACGTGACCACGGAAATGTCTTCGGACAGCGCTGGCTCTTCGGCTTTGAAATGGAGATGAGCACCGCAACTCTAGATTCGGATTCGACTGGCTTTCGAGCAAGGGAAACCTTTTTACCTGTCTTCTCACAATGTGCCCAAACTCCCATAGCCTCAGTGCAGTCATTTAAGCTTCTAAGGAAAGTTTCAGGCTTTACTGCTGATGAAACAGGGAAGGAAGAATCCCCTTTGACTACCCAAAAAGGTTATGCTGGTGATCAGGGGACCTGCATGGACCAAAGCTATGTGGGACAGGGGTTGTAATAAGGAGGAGACTTGGGCGAGAATGAGAGGTAAACCTGGTTGGATCCACCCCATTGGCTGGCCTGGTCTCCACCAACGAAGACCCCACAGGGGATATGTTCGGTACCTTGCCCACACTCAGCCGATCAGCCTTTCCCATATGCTCACCAGTCCCAACATAAAGGAGACCTGGATAACTTGTTCCACTGGTCAAACAGCGGAGCAAATGCTAGATGCAGAATGGGCCTAAGAATGGTGCCTGCCTTCCCTCTTCCCCTGTTCCTATCGGTCTAGGAACCCTTCTGCTCCAGGTCAGAGCCTTTTGCAACCACCAAAGTCAGGAGTGACAACAATTGCACAATAGGATGCTGGGGGAGATGCTGAAAAGGATGATGCTGTGCGTGGGCTTGCCTGTTGCAACGTTTAGACCAGGAAGCAGGGATCATTTGGAAGGCAATGTCAGGACCCACAGCAAACAATGAAGTACACACTTCTAGGAAGGTTTTACTTTTATTGAAAGCTATCGATGCAGTAACATTAGCACTGTTAGGAATGGCGAGTGATCTATGCGCACAGAAGGTTATAGGGCATTCGCATACTGAGCACCCAATTACAGGGGTTCCTGCACGTGGGCATTAGGCTGAGAACTAACGGCTGCAAAAGCAAAACAGGTAAAAGCTTCTCAGGACTCATCCTGTGTAGAGACAAAGCAACTCCTCCAGCGGCCTTGAGAGATATGCGGTGCGGCGAAGAGGCAATTAAGCGCAAGGGGAAAATGCACATGAAAGGGAAACATACTATACTCTTGGCAGCTTGCTGACAGGCAAGAGTGCCTGTGTCTTCACTCTGGGATTTTTTAATTTTTAAATGAAGAGATGCCGTTCAGAGACAGCCTGTATGCAACGAACTCTCTTTGCTTTCTGTCCAACGGCCCTGGGCAAAAATCAAGGTGTTTCTTCTTTTAGTGGTTCAGAAGGGACCAACTCATTCCAAGTAGTAATCTGGAGCGTGTTTACTAGGCAGTAAACTCCCTCCTAGCCCTACCCCAGATGGCCAGGGCTAGCTCCGTCCGGTCAGATCTGGGAAGCTAAGCAGCGTCAGCTGTAGCTGGTATTTGGATGGGACACTGCCAAGTAATACCAGGGTCATGGCACCGAGGAAGGCAGTGGCAAACCACCTCTGCTCATCTGTTGCCTTGAAAACCCAACGTGGTCCCCGTAAATCAGATGCAACTTGATGGCACTTGCCGCCGCCACCCCCCAAACGTCCCCCTAGCGCTAATCCAGATGGACTTGGGCTACTTTGATCTGGTCAGATATTGGAAGCTAAGCAGGGTCCATCCGGGCGACCCTTTGGATGGGAAACCACCAAGGACGTCCAGATCCAGACGGAGAGCCGTGTTTGTCTGTGGCAGTAGAAAAGAGCGAGAGTCCAGTAGCACCTTCAAGACGGAACACGATCTGTGGCCGGGTAGGAGCTTTCGTGAGTCTATGCCCAGAGGAAGGAAGTCCAGGGTCAGGAAGCAGAGGCAGGCAATGGGAAACCACCTCTGTTCTTCTCTTGCCCTGAAAACCCTACAGTTAGGGTCGCCAGGTCCCCCTGGGCCTCCGGCAGGGGGTGAGAGGGTAGGGTTGCCAGGTCCAAGTTAGGAAGCTCCTAGAGATTTGGGGATGGAGCCTGGGGAGGACAGGGACCTCAGTGAGGTGCAACGGCACAGAGTCCACCCTCCAAAGCATCCCATTTTCTCCAGGGGAACTGATCTCCGTCGTCTAGAGGTGAGCTGTCATTCCAGGGGATCCCCGGGGTCCCACCTGGAGGCTGGCATCCCTACTGAGGGTCCCCATAAGTCGGCTGCGACTGGATGGCACCTTCCTTCCAGCACCAGATTCCACCAACCGAGTGGCGTTTGATGCTGCCAGAGAGGATTAGGATCTGCCAAGCATGGGTGGGGTGGTGGAGGTATTACAATCCGGTTTGTTCAGAATTTGAGACACAGAGAGGAAGGCTTTGGTGCCCCTGCGGTCGGCTCCATGCCAGGCGCCTGGGTCCTGCAAGCCTGCCCCAAGGCACCCACCCTTCGCTGTGGGTCTCGTCCACACGACCTCCATGGGACGAAGGGGAAGGGTATCCTGGCGGGTCTTCAACACCCGCGTTTTAAAAAAACCCACCCAATCCCTCCCCGCGCGCGGCTGCGCATCAAGGGCGAGCCGCTCCCGCGCCTTTGGGGCGCGCGGCTCGTCGTCTCCCAGGCGAGGCGCGTCCCTGCAGGGGGCTCCCTCCTGACCCCGGCGGGCGGGCGCGCCAGCGGCCGGTGGCAGGTCTGACCTTCCTGGAGCAGCCGGAGAGCCGCGCGGAGGAGGCAGCAGCGCATGGTGGCCGCCGGGGACGCGCCGGGGGGGCCTGGTGGGAGGACTTGGGCGAGCACCGCGGTGCCCTGGCGGGAAGAGTCGGCCGGGTGGGGAGCGCCGCCGCCGCCGCTGCCGCATTCCGGTCTGCGCCAGCGGAGCCGCTGGGAAGTCCTGCCCCCTGCCGCCCGCGGAGGCGGAGAGGCCGCCGGGGCTGCTAGCTGCGCGACCACCTGGCTTTCAGCGGGTGGGCCTGGGAGTAACAAGCGGAGGGGGGGGGGTTCCCTGGAGACGCGGTTGCTCTGCCTCGGGAGGGGGTCGCCGTCCCCACGTGCTCCCGATCGCGGCCCCTCCTCCTGGGGCCGTGCTTGGAGGGAATCCCCTGTCCAAACAGGAGCAGGCCCAGGATGGAAGTCTCGTGGTGAGCGCCCTCCGAGGTCGTGAACGACCATCCGGATTCGTTTCAGGGGGGAGCCGTGTGGGTCTGCGGGAGTCCAGGAGCGTTTGGAGACGAACAAGACGGGGGAGGGGGAGATAGACTTGGGCTCTACTTGGACTCGAATTTAATTTTGATTTGGGGGGGATGGTTGCTGGGCGGTTTGTTTTATTGCCTCTTGTTTCGATTGCCTCGGGGGCTAGCAGCAACCTGAAATATTGAAACATAGAGCTGGAAGGAACCCCAAGGGGCATCTAGTCCAACCCCCTGCACAACACAGGAAATTCACAGCTACCTCCCCCAGTGAGGGGGAAATTCACAGCTACCTCCCACAGCTACCTTTATTGCCAGAAGAAGGCAAGAAACCTCCAGGACCCCCCTGGTCAATCTGGCCTGGAGGAAAATTCCTTCCTGACCCCAAAGTGGCAATCTGCATTATCCTGGGCATATAAGAAGGGCCACAAGAACCGAGCACCGGCTCATCCCTTCCTTTCGCAATCCGCCTAAATTCACAGTGAGTCACAGAATCAGCATTGCTCTGCTTAAAAACCTCCAAAGAGGGAGAACCTCCCGAGGAAGCCTGTTCAACTGAACTGCTCTAACTGTACAGAAGTTCTTCCTAATGTTTAGCCAAAAACTCTTGATTTCACTGCGGCCTGTTGGTTCTGGTCCGGCCTCCTGGGGCAGCAGAAAACAACTCCGCTTCAGCCTTTATATGACAGCCCTTCAAATATTTGAAGATGGCTATTATATCAGCTCTCAGTTGGCTATCGTAGATGGCAATTATATTACATCTCCAAGCTAAAAATACCCAGCTCCTTCAACCTTTCCTCAGAGGACTTGGTCTCCAGACCCCTCGCCATCTTTGTCACACTCTTCTGGACACGTTCCAGCTTCTTCTTAAACTGTGGTGCCCAAAACTGTATTCCCAGAAACATGAATCTTCTTTGCCTGCCAGAAGTTCCGTCATAGCCTAGCATGAAAGACCATCTCCTCCCACACTATCCAGGCTGCCGGTTAAGGATTGCCTCTCAAGCTCTGCTGTCTTTGCCTCTGTCTTCAGAGGTGGGGCAAATGCCAGCTAGAGACAGGGCATTATCTGTGGTGGCACCTTGCCTTGCAAATGCCTTCCCCCTTGAGGCTCACTTGGTGCCTGCTTTCTTTTAGGTGCCACGCTAAAACACGTCTTTTTTACCCAGTCTTTTGATTAGGGACTTTATCTTACCAGTCTTACTTCGGTTTTCATGATAGTTTTCATGCTGCTTATGGGTTGTGTTTTTAATGTTGTGGTTTTTGATTGTAAGCTGCCTTGGGAGGGACAGAGAAATATTCTAAATAAATAAATACGTGAGAAGGTCTTAAGATCATGGGGACCTGAAAAAAATCCAGTTTCCCTGTTGTTGTTTTTTAACTTTGTAACATGAAGAGGTATAGGGAAATGAATTGCTTGCACACTGCTGTTTCACTGGGTTGGTGGGCTGGTCCTGATGAAAAATATTACTGTCCATTCTGTTCCTCATTTGAGTTGCAAGAGTCGTCAATCAAGGAAGCCACAAGGGCCCTCCGTCTGCAAGACCTGAGCAAGGCAGTTAACGATAGGAGGTTTTGGAGGTCATAAATTCGTAGGGTCACCATGAGTTAGAAGTGACTTGGTGGCACGTAATACATACACATCTTCAGCAGAGAAACTGTAGTTGTCATGCTTCTGCAGGTGAACTGGGAGACAGAGAGAGAGGAGTCTTTGAGCTGGAGTAGAGCAGTTTTGGCCTTGGATAGCAGGTTATGGGGCCCCAGACCCTTGTTTTGGGAATGGGTTTTGCAGCCTGCCATGGCTTCAGCCAGTTTGGTGTAGTGGTTAAGTGCGCGGACTCTAATCTGGGAGAACCGGGTTTGATTCCCCACTCCTCCACTTGCAC